TTGATTGTATAATCATGACTTGCTTATGTACTTTCTTTGATCAACCATACATGTTTTGATTGTATAATCATGACTTGCTTACGTTCTTCTTTGATCAACCATACATGTTTGATTGTATTATCATGACTTGCTTATGTACTTTCTTTGATCAACCATACATGTTTGTATTGATAATCATGACTTGCTTATGTTCTTCCTTTGATCAACCATACATGTTTTGATTGTATAATCATGACTTGCTTATGTTCTTCTTTGATCAACCATACATGTTTTGATTGTATAATCATGACTTGCTTATGTACTTTCTTTGATCAACCATACATGTTTTGATTGTATAATCATGACTTGCTTATGTACTTTCTTTGATCAACCATACATGTTTTGATTGTATAATCATGACTTGCTTATGTTCTTCTTTGATCAACCATACATGTTTGATTGTATTATCATGACTTGCTTATGTACTTTCTTTGATCAACCAACAAGTTTTGATTGTATAATCATGACTTGCTAACGTTCTTCTTTGATCAACCATACATGTTTGATTGTATTATCATGACTTGCTTATGTACTTTCTTTGATCAACCAACAAGTTTTGATTGTATAATCATGACTTGCTTACGTTCTTCTTTGATCAACCATACATGTTTGATTGTATAAACATAAGATGCTCATCTCATCTTATTCTGTTTTTGCAATGTCGTATATAAACCTCTGCAAGTTTCACAGTCAGTGCTTCATGCTTGATACCGATACAAGTACCTGGGTAGAAGATGACGCCAGATTTCCCTGTAGTATCTGGAACCAGCACGACAACACTGGACCTCGCTCCAACAACCATCTGGAGGGGTTTCACAATTGACTGAAGAAGAGAATGCCCCGGTCACATCCTAACATTTACCAGTTCGTCAAGGAAATCAAGAAGATTGAGGCAGCAGATAAACGGTCTAGACGACAGACAGGTCTTTGTGGTGCTGTGAATCCTCGTGCACGTATTGACGGTAAAGGGGTCGTTGTCGGCACAGGTACTACAGGAAGGTACCCCAGGTTTTTTATCTTATATTTTATACATTTTATGCACATATTGTCTAGTGTGTCTCATTGGCCATCTGGCCTGGTGTTTGTATTTTTCTATGTCTTTTTACCGTTGCCATTTTTTGACATGTACATTCACGTGACACATAAATAAACTATTTTGTTTGTTTGTTTGTCTGTCTGTCTGTATTCTAACGCAATCGAATATGGAGCTCATACGACAGTATGAGAGTTCCGATCAAGAAGATGATGACGATTTCCCATGTTCATTAACGACAGCTGTTGGTGGGAACGATTTGGAAACGGCCCTTTCAGGACACCCAAAACTTAAAAAGTTTCGCTCCTGAGAGAACAGCGCTGGATATGTACGAAGTATGTCGTCCCCACCCCGACACCCCCACCCCATTGTAGACAGCTTTCAATTTTCTGTATAACGGACTACAGGGGACGTCATGCTCAAGAAAAATCGATTGTCTGATATTTTATAACTGACAGCGGAAGGAAGGTATATAGTTCTTCCTGACGAACACGCACTGCCATGTTGAATATTTCCGCGGTTTGACAGGCAGGAATAATGTTTAGTACGCGTTCGAGAAACCGGTTTAGCGCTCATCGCGATGCAGAATGGGATCGTCCTAGGGTACGATTCTGTACATTTACTTTGGCTAGGGTACATTTCTGTAGTATCTGTGCCGACAACGACCCCTTCAGCCGTATTGACAGGGGCAGAGATGCCCGAATTGAGAGACTAAAGCTACACCTGGCAACAGGACGAAAAACTGTGATGCAGTTTCTAGATGCAGTTGGACACTTGGTGAAATTACATTAAATTGTTCTGTGACTGATGATTATGGTGATGGTGGTGTTGGTGATTAACTTATGTGACTGATCATTGTGATGATATTGGTATTTTAACTACTTGCCTCGGTATTTTAACTTGTGAAATTTTAACTTTAGTGAAATTACAGTAATTGTTCTGTGACTGATGATTATGATGATGATGGTGTTGGTGATTAACTTATGTGACTGATCATTGTGATGATATTGGTATTTTAACCACTTGCCTCTGTATTTTAACTTGTGAAATTTTGCTTTAGTGAAATTACAGTAATCGTTCTGTGACTGATGATTATGATGATGGTGGTGTTGGTGATTAACTTATGTGACTGATCATTGTGATGATATTGGTATTTTAACTACTTGGCCTCTGTATTTTAACTTGTGAAATTTTAACTTTAGTGAAATTACAGTAATTGTTCTGTGACTGATGATTATGATGATGATGGTGTTGGTGATTAACTTATGTGACTGATCATTGTGATGATATTGGTATTTTAACTACTTGCCTCTGTATTTTAACTTGTGAAATTTTAACTTTAGTGAAATTACAGTAATCGTTCTGTGACTGATGATTATGATGATGGTGGTGTTGGTGATTAACTTATGTGACTGATCATTGTGATGATATTGGTATTTTAACTTGTCGAATATATGACCTATTAAAGTATAAACCATCATTGCAAGAGTTTATTTTCATTAATGGAAGAATACCTCAGTAGCGGAAGAGTCTACTTTTCTAAAGGTACAACAGCATTTATGTGATGTGCAGTCAACCCTAAATTTGTTTTGATAAGGGTGTAGGCGAAATGAGGTCAGGCCACAATTTGCTGCCGATTGCAGGGTGAGGTAACTCAATACGCCACTTCCTGTTATAGAGTTAGGACGGAAAATATACAAATAACTTTATAGTTGTCACAGGCTTACTCTTGACAAGGAAGTTTTGATTCGTGCAAAATGCAATTTGGCGGTAGAAGTCATACTAGTTTCGAAATGTTCCAGTCCTTACTGCAAAGATGAATACGATTAGACATGACATTCGAGTGAAATAAATGACTTTATCAAGAGCGATGAAGAATTTATTTACGTTATTTGCATATGTAACCAGCCGATGTGGGCGTGGTGTTTCTGCTTCTCTGATGTTTTCACGCCATTAGATGAATGCCGCGATGTCAGAGTATCGTGCCACTCACAAAGACATGCCGATCGGTTTTTCCGTTTCTGCTGATTCCTCCCCAGACCATGATAGATCCTCCCCCCATAACGGTCGTGTTCGCTAATGTTAGCATCGTTAAACCTTTCCCTTTCTCTTCTCCACACCTGTTGACTTCTGTCAGTAAAGTTCAAACAATATCGCGACTCATCAGTAAAGAGAACTGGTATCCAGTCGTTATGTGTCCAAGTGACATGATCATGAGCACCAGACAAGCTTTCCCGCCTGTGACGTACGGTCAGTGGGATGAGAACACATGCCCTCCTGGAGTTGAGGCCAGCTGCATGAAGATTATTCCGTATTGTCTGGGTGGATACGTTAACGCCCGAGGCGTTAAGGAGGTCATTTCAGAGTCTGGTGACTGTCCAGAAAGGATGATGTCGTACCTGAACGTTGATTAAGTGGTCTTGTGATTGTGTGGTCGACGTTTGACGACCACAGGTACCGCCTCCGTGGTGTAGTGGTTTGAGCGTCCGCCCAGAGAGCGGAAGGTCGCGGGTTCGATCCCCGACCGCGTCATACCAAAAGATGTTAAAATATGGTACTTGTTGGTGCCTGCCTGGCGCTCGGCATTAATGGGTACAACTAGGACTGGTCGGCTCGGAGTCAGTATAATGTGTCTGAGTGGGGTATTCATGCTTCACTGCGATATCGTATCTCAGTGGGCTAGCACTATAAAAACAGCGTCAGTCTGGGCTAGTACAAGCAGCCGCACATACACATACACACGCATGCACGTCGTCATATGAGCGAAATATTCTCAAGCACGACGTAAAGCCAAATTTCACCTCACCTCACCTTGACGACCACCGCCATGACTGTGCTGTCGTACCAAAGGTTTGATGCCAGTTCCACACTCTGTTAACAACGCTTTGGCTGACGTTTAGTGCATTCGCAACGTTACGTTGTAAGAAGCCTGATTCAAGCATGCCGATTCATCTCCCCAATTGCTCTGGCATCAAACGACGTCTTTGACGTTGAGGAGGCATCATGAGTGTTAAAAGTAATGACAAACGTATTGAAATGTCAAAACCTTCATCAACAATCCACACACAAGTCATTGAAATGTGAGCTGACAACGTGACGTTTACATCTAAGCAAGAAAAGGGAGGCTCCATTCTCATCTAATGTCATGAAATGCACGTGCAGTGTATATGGCACTGCCTGCGTGTCCTTTTAACAGTGTCGTTTATCAACGGCAGTAACAAAACCTGCTTGCATATGTTAATTAACTTTCTATGATCCCTATCAAATTGTGAGTAGTATATTTTTACTTTGTGTCAGTTTTTTTTTTTATACAGAATGTGTCTGAGTGGGGTATACATGCTTCACTGCGGCATGGTATCTCAGTGGGCTAGCACTATAAAACCAGCTTAAGTCTGGGCTAATACAAGCAGCCGCACATGCACATACACACGCCGCCATATAGCTGGAATATTGCTGAGTATTGTATCGTCCTCCCTTCGTCATCATCTTCCTTCGTGGTATCAGGCACAGATGTGACATCTTCTATTGTCTTCACTTCCTGCATTGTGCCATTACTTTTCTTCTCCTCTCTCTCATGTATCGTCCTCCCTTCGTCATCATCTTCCTTCGTGGTATCAGGCACAGATGTGACATCTTCTATTATCTTCACTTCCTGCATTGTGCCATTACTTTTCTTCTCCTCTCTCTCATGTATCGTCCTCCCTTCGTCATCATCTTCCTTTGAGGTATCAGGCACAGATGTGACATCTTCTGTTGTCTTCACTTCCTGCATTGTGCCATTACTTTTCTTCTCCTCTCTCTCATGTATCGTCCTCCCTTTGTCATCATCTTCCTTCGTGGTATCAGGCACAGATGTGACATCCTCTGTTGTCTTCACTTCCTGCATTGTATTTCTTCATCTCTCTCGTCTTCTCGATTTCCTGGTATCTCATGTATCGTCCTCCCTTCTTCTCCTCTCTCTCATGTATCGTCCTCCTTTGTCATCATCTTCCTTTGAGGTATCAGGCAGAGATGTGAAATCTTCTGTTGTCTTCACTTTCTGCATTGTGCTATTACTTTTCTTCTCCTCTCTCCCATGTATCGTCCTCCCTTCGTCCATCATCTTCCTTTGAGGTATCAGGCACAGATGTGACATCTTCTGTTGTCTTCTCTTCCTGCATTGTGCCATTACTTTTCTTCTCCTCTCTCTTTTCTTCTCCTCTCTCTCATGTATCGTCCTCCCTTCGTCATCATCTTCCTTCGAGGTATCAGGCACAGATGTGAAATCTTCTGTTGTCTTCACTTCCTGCATTGTGCCATTACTTTTCTTCTCCTCTCTCTCATGTATCGTCCTCCCTTCGTCATCATATTCCTTTGAGGTATCAGGCACAGACGTGACATCTTCTGTTGTCTTCACTTCCTGAATCTTCCCCAGTTCCTTTCCATCATTCTTCTCCACCTTCTGTTGTTCCACCGAGTTTCCCTCACCCACGTCTGTGTTGTATAGGCCGCCTACATCCTGTTCCTCAGTGCCACCATCCTCTCCTTTAACCGGGACAAGCTCAAACTTGTCTTCCTCTCCTACGCTGTTCCTTGCTCTCTGATCCTTTTCCATCATGCCCTTGTCACAACCAAATGCGGTATGAGCATCTTTGTTCTCACTCTCACAATCTTGAGAGGAAGTGACTTCTTCCATTTCATCATCCCAATTCTCCTTCACATCCTGTCCACCAAGTAGTCTGCTTTCATCTGTTCTTCCTATTTTCATACTTACTACTCTTTCTTCATCTTTAGATGTCGGTTCAACTTCCTTAATGTTCCCTTCTTCTCCACCTACCATAGCTTTATTCATAGTCCAGCTTTCTTCCATCAGAATTGTCTTCCCATCCTGTTTCCATTCACCCCCAAGTGTGCCCTGAAGACTCACACCTTCCACATCCAATTCTGTCTTCCTCTTCTCCTTTTCCATAAGTCCATCTCTGACAGTGGTCAGAATGTAGCCCAGCACGTTCTTCCCGTTCCAGCAGTCTGTGTCCCAGGCATCGGAGTTATTTTTCGTAAATCCTAAACCATATCCGATACCCCAGAAACGTTCTTCATATTCACTCATGGCTAAGAGCTTTGGGTACGTGGCAAACAGTTTCTCCTTCTAGTCGGAATTCTGAGAGAACTGAAAAAATACAAGCAAAGTATCAGCTTCATCCTGTACAATAAGGAAAATAGTTTTATGGATGTCAACTTCTTTATTATGACGAAAACGACGTATATCCTCAAGGCGGCCGTCCATACAGGAAGCGCGCAAGCAGCGCTGTGCTAAGCAGCGCGTCGGCGCGTTTATTCTGTGCCTCTTTTCGAGCAGCGCGTTACCGCGTCTATCCATACAAAAATTGAACTGAAATTAAAATTTAGTTGACTTTGTCATATTACATTTCTTTTGTTAGTGTGTTTCAGAAGAAGGACATGAATCGAACAAAGAAAACTGTGATGCTCATGAATGTTTACTGGCGGTGGAAACAACGACATAGAACACATTCAACATGGGTGCACAGTATCCTGCAAAATAGAAGAGAATATGGAGAATACTACCGTCTTGTCAAAGAGTTGGAATTGGATGCCGGACGTTTCTTTCACTTCAGGATGTCTAAAGAACAGTTTGAAGAATTACTGGCTCTCATTGGACCTAGCATTTCTAGAAAGCCAACCAGCTTACAAACAATGATTCCTGCCAAAGAAAGACTTGCAGTAACACTCCTTTATTCCAAACTGGTAATTCTTGACAAGAAAAGAGACATGCCAACCTTAACAATACAGAAGAAATAATCAGGAACTATCTGGTTCGTTTATCACAAAAAGATATCTTTTGCATTTACCGATGCGGTAAGTAAAATAAAAGGTAAATTTTCTTTCACAGAACCAATAAACATTAAGAACCAAAAAAAACATGTTTTGAAACCGTTCAACACATTGTCACAGAATCAGAGATTTTGGTACCTCTGAGATGAATCAGTAAAATCTCAATCTTGATTCATGGAATTCATGCGAAGTGGAGCATAGGTTTGATTTTGAAATCCAATCTGCGTAGTCTGGACGTTCAGTTGCATATCAGGGAAACACTCGGCCTTGTAAAAAAGCTTATGAATTAAAAACTTAACTTCTGCCTTTTTTCGTGGAGGCAATCTCTTGAGGGCAGGGACTTGTGATCTTAGGAACAGTTCGTCTTCATCTGGATCCTGTTTCTCGTTAGACACAGCATCCTCATTTTGGAGATAATTTAACATAGCTCTTCCAACAGGATCATCAGCTTGATTTCTGGACCTTTTGGTCGGTTTGGATAATTCCTTCGACACAACAGGCCGCGACGTGAACGTATTTGATGGTGTCGTGTTGGACTGGCTATCCGTAGATACATCTGTAGTAACATCAGTGTTGGTGTCTGTTGCATCCAATGATCGGTCACCTTGTTGTGCATCTTCAGCAAACGGAGACTTGATAGCCCCGAAAAATTCAAAGTTTTCTTTCCCGGACACATGTTTGTAAGATCCTCGTCTGGATTGGTACATGGAGCTATCTTCGTTCTGTGTCACCCCATCATCTCTCACTCTGTCACATTCGCGTCTGGTTTGGGGATTCCTTTCTTTGGTATTTCCACTGTCCAAATTCAGTTGTTCCCATCTCCTCTTTTTCATCTTCTCCTCCTCCTCCATTTCCTCCCATCTCTTGTCATCTTTCCACTTCTCCCATTCCTCCCAGTGCGTGTCCTCCTTCTCCATCAGTCTATCTCTCACTCGGGTAATTATATAGCCAAGCTGGTTTTTGCCCCGCCATGTCTCTTTATCCCAGGCTAACGGGTCTTTTTGGCTTCGCCCTATTCCCCACAATCGGTCTGATGGACTCGCCACCACCAAGAGCTTGGGGTACGTGGCGAACAGGGGTTCCTGCAAATGTGGATTCTGAGTGAACTGAAACAAGAGTGAGTGAGTTCAGTTTTATGCCGGTTTTAGCAATATTCCAGCAATAACATACGGGGAACACCAGAAATGGGCTCTTGAAACAAGAACAAGATAATTAAGGACTGCATGGGTATTTTGTGTACAAAAAAAGTCGCAAAAACGGTGCTTAAAGTATTTCTAAGTGTATTCTATACTATGCACTGGACAATGTATAAATGTTGTTTAAAACTGAGTCTGAAAAAATTCAGTTGTAATAGCTATAAAAACAACCTTGGTTTGTTACATCATATACTGAGTCAAAAAAAGAAACTTCACATTCTTTCTTCAGGGCACTATAAAAGAACAAGAGATGGTAAGATGGTTAAATTGTTATTATTTCATTGCTGAGATCTGTGTGATGTACTCGATACACTGACAGTGCCATAATCAGTTCCATTAGGCTACACCGCCGTTCCAAAACATGGGTATACAGAATGTCAAGTCACAAGAATAACAATGCGAAATTTCTCAGTTCAATATCGTGTATGGCCGCCCCGCGCAGTCACCACTGCCAAACACCGTCTCCTCATCGACTGCCTGATGCTTGTGAACACGTGGTTGGGGATTCTGCACCATTGCTCTTTACCATTGCAAATTCTGAGGTTGGTTCCTAAGACCACGAAGCCATCTCCCAAGTGCATCCCAAACGTGCTCTATTGGATTAAGGTCAGGGGACCTCGATGGCCAGTCCATGACATTGATTCCAGCGTTTTGAAGGAAATTTCGTGTCAACATCGCGGTATGCGGCAGAGCATTATCATGCTGGAACTGTAGACCTTGGCCATGTGCCGCCATGAAAGGAACGAGTTCAGGGGTGAGCACCTGGTCGCGGTAAGCAGCAGCTGTGAGGTTTCCACGGATGACCAGAAGTCGGGAACGGTTGTTCCCACAGAAAGCACCCCACACCATGCAACTTCCGCCCCCGAATCTGTCGACTTCCTGTACACAACATTGGACATACCGTTCACGACGTCGTCTCCAGACTCTATGCCTGCCGTCCACGAATCTGAGGGTAAACCTGGATTCATCGCTAAAGACGACTCGAATCCAGTATCTCTAGGTCCATCGGAGGTGACGTTGGGCCCACAGCAGACGTTGACGTTGATGAAACGGTGTCAATATTGGCCCACGATATGGACGTCGAGAATGGAGATTGGCAGCCCGCAACCGACTTCGAATGGTCTGTGGGGACAGTCGACCTCTAAACATCTCAGCCCTGGTTCGTGTAGCCGGCAGAAATCTGTCACGGAGGAAACGTAGGACGATTTGACGGTCTTCTGCTCGTGACGTCACACATGGACTACCCGACCTTGGGCGATCAGAAGTGGTGCCAGTTTGTTGTAGACGACCTCGCAAGTCATACACAGTACAACGGCTGCATCACATTGCTCTTGCGACGTCAATAACTGATCTTCCCACTTGCAACATGCCAACGGCACGTTCACGTTGCACATTTGACAATCGTGGCATTTCAAGTACCGTTAGAACTGTGGTTTAAAAGTGTTTTTTCAATTCTTGAGGCCAATGCAAACAGGTGCATATGAAGACAACTTCGATGCGAAGATCACGTGATCGACTGCACATGCAAAACCTGATTTGGCACTAACGTCATTTGCACGACGAATGGATGGGTTTGAGTGGGTTTTGCTAACGTTTTTGTAGAGTCTAAAGATAGGGATCCCATTTCGGATACATAGATGTATCATCAGAGAAAAAATATTCATTATTTTTCAAATTGCATTTTGTGAAGTTTCTTTTTTGACTCAGTAATTAAGTATTAGTTTCTCTCATCTTCTCACTATACGTGCTTATCCATTATCATGTTCCAGCTACATTGACGATAGGTACATATTGTGTGGATCAGACACTCCAGTGATTTGTATCATCAACAACGATCTACGTGGTCGGGAACGGTGACCCGACGACATCAATCTTATAACAGAGACTGTGGTCATCCAATCCAGTAAGTCACGTCTTGCAACAATTTCAACTCCAAGGCTGCTAGGGACCAAATCTAACCCTGAATCCCTTGGGTTGCCAATTTTGGCGGGTGTACAAAGACTACAAACATGTAAGATGTTTAATACTTTCCAGCTATTATACGTAACAGCCGTAATGTCATTACTTAAACCATCTTGACGCCATTATCTAAACTTATTTATGCCATTTTCCGGACCTTATTGGATGTTTAGTCAACATAAACTGTAAAAGCCATTATCTATACCTTGAATGTTTAGACAACTTGCCGTGATGCCATTAACGAAACGTTTTTATGCCATTATCCAGACCTCATTAGTCGTTTAGACAAGCCGCCCTAATGCATTTATCTAAGCATTGCATGTTTAGAAAACGTGCCGTGATATCATTATCTAAACATTGGACGCCTTTTGAATGTTTCGACAACTTTCACTGATGCCGTGATTGTGAAAACTTCTATGATGTTTAAACAAGAGAAGTCGTAATAAGAAATGGTGACGACAAACCAAGGGTCATAATCGAATGTTGTGGCATGGCGTATAAAGAGTGTCTCATGCAGTGTTAGTTGACGCCTTCAGAAGACACGTGTATGAACATGTAACAAATCAAACCTTAGCCTCCGTTGCCCGCTCAACCACATCTATGAAGTGTTTCTTCCATACTTCGAATTTGAATTCTGGGATCTGCCGCCCGTAACGATTCTGTTCCACCGGGTCAGACGTCCCCATGATCTTCTGTTCCATTTCTTTGTTCTTAAATATAACTGCAAGGATAAGCCAACACTTGTATCATGTGGATAGTGAATACAAATACGAAGAGACAAACATATTATATACAGTATAGACATACATTATGTTCCAAACTGCATGCATAAATCATCACTTGTATGAAGCAGATAGTGAATACAAATATCAAGAGTTTTGTTTTTGTTTGTTGTTAAACAACGCACTCAGCAACATTCCAGTAATTGGGATACGTTGGGTGTGGACTGACTGACTGACTGAGTTTGGTTTTACGCCGCTTTTCACAATATTCCAGCAACATCACGGCGGGGGACACCGGAAATGGCCTTCACACATTGTACCCATGTGGGGTTTGGGTGTGGAAAATGAATACAAACATAAAACATGGATTGGCGCATACTGAAAGAAAAAGGGGAGAGGTGCGCTCACCCTACCCCAACACCGACTCCAAAAAATAATTATTATAAGTATAACATGATTAGCTCAAGTTCTTTCTAAGACAAATTAATTCCTTAAATCCTTTTGTTTGTTGTTAAACAACGCACTCAGCAACATTCCAGTAATTGGGATAAGTTGACATGAATTAACCAAGTTAAACTAACATCTAGTCCGTGAAATGAACATATTTTGCAGAAAAAAACCTGTTCATAACATATAATGAAACAGAGCCCAGAGACTTTCTTCATTTTCAGAAATTGAAAGTCTGGACTTGCCACATATTCTAGACTTGCATGGGCTTTCTTGGATATATTTGTTTCAGAGTCTGTATGACAGACTTCAACCAAGTTAGCGAGCCTGTCCACCCGATCCCGTTAGTCGCCTCTCACGACAAGCATGGGTTACTGAAGATCAATATTCTAACCTGGATCTTTACGCGTCAAACATGGAGAAACAAACACTTAGACTGACATTATGTTCCTAAATATTACTGCAAAGACAACTGAACACTTGTTTGGGTGTGGAAAATGAATACAACAAAAAGCATGGATTGGCGCATACTGAAAGAAAAAGGGGAGAGGCGCTCACCCTACCCCAACACCGACTCCAAAGAATAATTATTATAAGTAGAACATGATTAGCTCAAGTTCTTTCTAAGACAAATTAATTCCTTAAATCCTTAATCAAGAAAGTACACATGTAGAATTCAGAAGAACAAAACATCGTATTTACCGGTCTTCTGATACAACATGTACTGCTCAGCACAGTTGAATTCGGTATCGTCTATGACGAATTTGGCTGGATGTTGCTGGCTGAATGGCGACTCATTGCCGAAAAAGAGGACAAATTTATCCTGGTTAGGCATTTTTGTGTAGAACCCTTTTGTGTTTCTTGGCCCCATGTTTCTCCATCCGTGTTTGTTCAGGTCGCGTTGTGTTTGCTCATCTGTCATATTTCGCTTGGGACGAGACGTTAGTTCTGTTTCATCCCAAAGTGGCATCTCGTCGGTTATATTCTGCCAGTCCGACATTCTGTCTGATTCTTTGTACTCTTCACCCGTCACGTGATGTTCCTCCAAGCCTTTGTGCCTCCTCTCACCTTCCCCACCATAACTCTCATGCCTGTTGCTACTTTGAGCTTTATGTCCTTCTGCCTTTTGGCGGTTCCTTTTCCCGCCTTTTCTTTCACTACCACGAATTGTATGCCCTTCCATCCCTAGGCTCATCTCTTTCCCGCCCTGTCTATTGTTTCCCTCGGAGGTGTGTTCTTCTGTCCCTTGTTTTTTTGCATCCCCACCCTGCACCTTGTAATCCAGACTCGATTGACCTGTAATTTGGCTCTCCCATCTCCCAATCTGATTCATTCTGTCCCGCCTTGCCTGTCCTTCTACATGGCTGTTCCCTCCACCACCCTGCCATCGCTCTTCCCGACCCGCCTGTCCTTCTACATGGCTGTTCCCTCCACCACCCTGCCATCTCTCTTCCCGACCCGCCTGTCCCTCTACCCAATGGCTGTTCCCTTCTTCGCCCTCCCTTCCCCCATCCCGTCCCGCCTGTCCCTCTACCCCATGTCTGTTCCCTCCAGCATCCTCCTTTCCCCTATCCTGTCCCTCAACCCGATGGCTGTTTTCTATACCACCCTGCCTTCCCCCATCCCGTCCCGCCTGTCCCCCTACCCCATGGCTGTTCCCCCACCACCCTCCCTTCTCCCATCCCATCCTTCTACCTTATGGCTGTTCCTTCCACCACCCTGCCATCTCTCATGCTGCCACGTCTGTCCCTCTACCGCTTGGCTGTTCCCTCCACCACTCTCCCTTCCCCCATCCCGTCCCTCTACCCAATGGCTGTTTCCTCTACCAAACCGCCTTCTTATATTTCCTCCATCAGCCTTCTTTCTCTCATCCCGACCCGCCTGTCCCTTTACCCCATGGCTGTTCGATCCAGCACCCTGCCTTCTCTCATCCCCATCAACCTGTCCCTCTACCCCATGGCTGTTCCCTTCGTCCCGCTGTCTTCTTTCATCCCGACCCGCCTGTACCTCCACCCTTTTATCTTGCATCTGGTCTTTCTCCTGTGGCCTGTTCTCCATCTTCATGAGCTTGTCCCTGATTTTAGTAAGAACATCGCCATATATGTTATAGTCACCGAAGCCCTTCCCGGACAAAGCTTTGGGATTTGTAGCCGATAGCCCAATACTCCAGAACCTGTCTGCAGTAGTGGCATATGCCAGTGTCCTCGGGAATGTGGCAAATAATTGTTTCTTTAGGGCTGGATTCTGTGTGAACTGACAACAGAAGGTGCATTTTACACATACAGTAGAAGCTGTATAATCCGACATAGTCTGTCGTACAGACCCTGAAGCAAATATATCCAAGAAAGCCCACTCAAGTCAAGTCAAGCAAATGTTTCAAGTCTAGATTTCCTCAGCTTCAGGGTCTGTACCAATCTGCTGAATTCACAAGCCAGAATATGGCTTGTAATTATCAGTTGATCTCTAGCTGTCACTAGTGTTTAATATTAACTCATGGGGAGCCTCCCCCATCACTCCCCAAGACCCCACGCTGAGCCAAGACCTCCTGCTTCTGCCTGTCCTCTCACTCCAGACAAACAACGTGTGTGATTACACTAGAGACCTGATGACTTATAAAATCTGAGTATTTTCTTTAACTGTTTTATTCTCTCTCTCTCTCTCTCTCTCTCTCTCTCTCTCTCTCTCTCTCTCTCTCTCTCTCTCTCTCTCTCTCTCTCTCTCTCTCTCTCTCTCTCTCTCTCTCTCTCTCTCTCTCTCTCTCCCTCTGTGTCACAAACGAGGATGGGGGCACTTCATCACACACCTTTTCTTCAAGGGCGAGTTCAGCCCATTTAATCCTTTCCCTATTCCATTTGCGAGCATCGACGTTGTGGACATTCTTTCCACAGCGTTCTATTATCTTCAGGTCACGTGTTTCCATGATATCAATAGCTTGTTCCTTGTCTTTGAAGAAGTCTGAAAATAGAAGCGTCATTTAAGATGGAACTCATAACTGTTCTTTTAGAAAACAGTAACATTATTTTAGTAAAAGATGCGATTTTAAATTGCATGATGTACATACTGACATCTATAAGACAACTCCTGGAAAACAATGGCAAAATCGACATTCTATACAAACAACACACATGGCATCCGTTTACGTTTAGATCAGGAGAGAGGGAAATGAGTACCGTTTTGGATTTGTTTCAGTAACATTCCAGCTGTATCACGACAGTCAATAAAATAATAGTTGGGTCCAGAAAAGTAAGTGATTAACATCATGAGAATCGATCAGCTGGGACACGATGACATGTATCAACTCAGTCAGCAAGTCTGACCACCCGATCCCGTTAGTCGCCTCTGATGACGTAGGTATCGTAGTTTATTGCAATTACTCTGTATTTCTTCAAAGGTTGTTATCATTATTGCGGATCGGAAGTATGTTTGCTGATCATAATTGCTTAAAGGACCAGGGCCTAGATTTTCGAAGCTCTCTTAGCGCTAAGATAGTCGTAAGTTAATGTTAATGTATGGCACTATCTTAGCGCTAAGAGAGCTTCGAAAATCTAGGCCCTGTTTAGGTGTCACAAGTCTGACAATATATATGTGTGTGTGTATATACTAACGAATTTCACTTTCATTTCAAGATAAACCATTGTTTGATTTAAAAAAAATAGACTACTATTTGTTCATACCGCGATATATGCGTCGCATATAACTGATGGTGTTTTTGACTGTGATAAGCAATTTAATCTCTGTAGAGTGTAATTGGTAAACATTATCTACGGTATATGTAATTCATCGAGGTGACATTCAGTAATTAAAAGTAATCTAGAGCATACCATGTTTAAAATAACAAGAGATTTTGTCAGTTTGCGGGGGTGCATTTCAATCAGGTATTTTATCCGTCCTTCGTTAAATTCGAAATTTTAGACACTTGAATATGCACACACAACTCAAAACAGACAGTTTGGTTCATGTACATACATGTTGTTACATCTGACTTAACACACATTTGGATACTCATTCAGCGTTCGAACGTACCTGCCTTCCGATACATCAAATACTGTAGAACACTGTAGAATGTTTTTCCCTGGATGTCGAATGGAGCTTCATGTCGTGGGCTGAATGGCGAGTCGACTTGGAATAACTCAAACTCACCTTCGCCCGCCATGTTGGTGTGCAAATGAAAAGTAGGCTGCTTGAACGATTCTCACTAAAACTGTAAATCCTATTTTCACTTTCACATTTGCTGTTATCTGTCGCCCAGGTTGGAACAGTAACGGTAACAGTTTTCGCTTCTTATCGGTCTGGCGTAGTACGACTGCATTTTAAAACTCGTGTTGTGATCTCCTGGATAAGAATAAAATTTTGATTTCATATTAATTTCCAAGAAATATGATGATGCCCATGTCAAGATTTCGGAGCAATTACGACACTTCCTTGTGTGTGGGGGGACCCAAAGGGAGGTAACTCTGTTTTCCTAACTGTTGCGCTTTTCCCGACCGTACAAAGGTTGATTAAGACAAATGGGAGGTCGTATCTCTACTTTCTTGGGGGTGGGGGTACTCACGGAGATTTCTTTTCACTTTGTCTTTTATCTCATTCTTAATATTCCGTGTATATTATCGTATTCTTAGGTTGTTGGGGGTGGTGGGGTAGCCTAGTGGTGGTAAAGCGTTCGCTGGTCACGCTGAAAACCCGCGTTCGATTCCCCACATGGGTACTATGTTTTGAAGCTCTGGTGTCTCCTGCCGTGATATTGCTGGAATATTGGCAAGGGCGGCGTGAAACTAAACTGACTCACTCACGCTTTGGTTGTTGCGAAAACTAACACATATCATCTGAATGTTACTTGTCAAACGTAGCTGTATTCCAGAGTCGGAAGTATTGATATAAGCAATAATCCTAGTCATTTATTTACCTTTTCTCTATGCTTAGGACCATGGCAATCCTAAGATTTCAAGATCTACACATCACAAATTAATGTATTAAATCCCTTTGAATCTATGTATTTTGAATGTTTGGGATAAATTATTTAGCAGACTCTGCATGTAATAGGCGACTAACAGGTTCGCGAAGGTCGATGCTCATGCTGTTGAACACTGGATTGTCTGGTCCTGACAATTTACAGACCGCCGCCATACAGCTGGAATATTGGCGTTAAACAACAACAACAACAAAAAATTATTTAGATAAACATAATTGATTACTTTGGACACTTTGAGAAAAGGGTCATCTGCAAATTTCGTAATCTGCCAATAAATCAGTCTTGACTTTTTGTTTCAATGAAAAAACACGTTTTCGTGAGGTCAGTGAAACCGCAATCAATCAAAAGGTTGACAGCATGAAGCATATGTTGCCAGGCCAACGGGTTGGCACAGTCGTCTAAGGTGCCTCAATTCACTGTAGAGTTGGACCAGTGAAGATCCGGGTTAGAATTGATCTTCAGTAACCCATGCTTGTCGTAAGAGGAGACTAACTGGATCGGGTGGTCAGACTCGCTGACTTGGTTGACACACGTCATCGTATCTCAGTTAGGTAGATCGATGCTCATGCTGTTGATCACTGAATATCTGGTCCAGACTCGACTATTTACAGGCTGCAGCTATATAGCTGTAATATTGCCGAGTGCCTTGTAAAACTAAACCCACTCACTGTAGAGTTGACTCTCTAAGTATGCAAGAAACCTATATACTGGGTTCGACAGCACTCTTAACGCATGAGCACGCTGGGCAGTTGACCCTGCCCCACAAACATAGGAATCCCGTGCTTATCTATGTATGTTGTTACTTGCTGTTAATAAGTAAATAATACTCATTTACTAAACTGTTCACATGTTACTGGAAAATGAATATTTAGCATGTGTTACATTAAAGATAAAAGACCTGTCGGGTAGCCTAGTGGTTAAAACGTTCGCTCGTCACGCGGAAAGTCCAGGTTCGATTCCCCACATGGGTACGATGTGTGAAGCCCATTTCTGGTGCCCCCCCACCGTGATATTGCTTGATTATTGCTAAATGCTGCGTAAAACTAACCAACTCACTCATTAAAGATAATAGACACTGTTATGTGATTCTGTATATTTATTGTGCAAGCCCAAGAACAGTTTAACACTTGTCCCGTAACCTGACTTTGACCAGCCCTGGTTTCATTCCCTTAATATAACACAGGGTAACATCAAGTACCATCTTTTAAAGGATTGCCACATAAACATATAACTGATAACCGACCTCGTCTTCAGGTTTGTTATTGTAGAATATTGGTCACATGAACCAGTGGGTTGAAAGACATATCATGGGTTGAGGGATGTAAGGGAGATAACTCCTTGACTGCTTATATCATTTTTTGTTATACTGTAGCTCTGTTGATATGGTAATGTGTGAAAGGGATAAGAGTGATGTGTGATCTATGTCAAAGGATGCTATTGAATAATAATGCTTACCTCAGGTAAATGCCCTATTGTATATCAATTTTATACGACGCAGACAGATTCACAGGCCCTTGTGTCTTTGCAAGGATTAAAGATAAGGGCTGGATATTGCCCTGATTCTCATATTGCAATAATTCAAGAGATATTGCAATACACATTGTGATATATATTTACTGGAAGGTTTCTGTCCAAGTGCGTACATCATGACAGCTCTCTGTGTGACATCATCTTCTTAGTTTCTGTTACACCATACTTTCAGGCTCCCTGTCCCCATTGTGTATGGCTGTATGCCAGTGGTGTACAGATAAATGATATAGAGCCTTAATGTGGAATATTTCATTGAAGTAACTGCATTGCAACAAAGTTTTGCGAACATAATGATAAAGGTAATAGTATAACATGATTTTCATGGTCAGTGTTGTTTGCTTCAACAGAATGCACTTCAATGCCGTATGTAATTATTGTTACTGTTTGTCAGGGATTCATTCAGATTCAACTCCAATATAAACATGTGTTGTAACATGAACTGTTGTAAAATGAAACAAAACATAATTTAGGTGATCTACTTGAGCTGAAAATCTCACATGACCTCCAATAACTAAGATCCTTAACTAGAAAACTGATAAGACTTTGGCCTTTATCATAATTGATAACATATGTCCCATTATGAAACAAAACAAAAATAACAAAATAATGTGCACTGCGAAATGGTCACTCAGAGCCAGTATCTCTACTTATAAGTCTGAATAAGAGATTGGTCAAATCTTTGAAGGGCATTTAAAAGTGGAATGCATAAGAAAAGCAAGATTTATGGATGTCAACTTCTTTGTTGGGAATTTTCATGACCTGATGAAGGAACAAGCATAGACTCCGAAACGTTGTGTTATTCACAACAAGAAGTTGACATCCATAACTCTTGCTTTTCTTAAAAGATTGGTCCCTTTGAGGCCACTTAATTCCTCCCAAACGTCACATATGAAACCATTCAAACCCCAAAATTTAAAGCATTTGGTAGAATATTTGGCACTTTTGAAGCCACTCATAAAAACACCTCCACTGATAAAATGTTACATGAAACAGAAAAGAAACAAAAGTATATTTGGCACTTTTAGAGCACATTTTGTTGCTATGGAAATCAAGGGTAGATAATTCAAAGGGACCTAACTCTGGATGACCCAATATATTGCAGAATCTGAACCACATCGCGATAATCGTATCGCGAGATACTGTACCGGTATATACCGGTTTACCAGTAATATTGCACAGTGCTATTAAAGATTAAAAATGTAATTTTTAGAGTAAAATTGATATTTTATACTTATCCTGACTCATGCTCTTTTCCCCTTTGTTTCCCCTGGCGGAAAGGTGTCAGCCACCCTCTGGCCATGTGCTCCACTCTCTCCTGATTTGGCGAGCCTAACACACTTGAATTTACAGGAAATCCAAAGTGTTATGTGGGGAGGATGTGAGGAGCTAACCTCATGAGTCAGGATAAGTATAAAATATCAATTTTACTCTAAAAATTACATATTTTTCCTTATCCTGACTCATGCTTTTTGCTTGTAGCATCCTACGGAACGGAGGTGGGTAACAGAATACTTTGGATTTATAATTAGTGATTTTCTATAGATATACTGTAATATCCCCTACGGAACTTCATGAAGGCTTAGATTTAGGATGTTTCCTGTATAAAGAAACCATAGGTTATATAAAGCCATTAAAGGGAATTACATTATGAATATATTGAACAATACATATAAATTATATATATATATATAGGTGACTCTGATAGAGGCACTGAACTTGACTATACTGAAAGTATATGCTTAAGGCTGAATACTTAAGCTGAACATATATACATAGCCCTAAAACTCCTGAGAAGTTATAAGCTAGATGAGTATGTATAAAATACATATTAATCTTGTGAGGATAATATTTTAACGCCTCACGAGGGACTGTCCAGTTGCTGAGCTTGAGGACCAGTGGTCCCAAATGGTGAATGCCAGAGACATCTTCTGTAGTGATGTCTCTCAGGTAGTGATTAGCAAATACCATGTTAGATTTCCAATAGCATCCTTCCATAATCGTGTTCAAGGAACAAAGTTACCGCAGTGGGGGCCATGAGGGTAGAGGCCAGTGCCCTGATCTCATGTGGATTTGATGCTGTTGGTGGGTCCAAGCCTGCTGCTGCCTTGTAGGCATGGAGAATGACAGTCCTTATCCAAATAGATATTGTGGTCCGTGACACTTCTGTTTGATTCAGTAGGCTGATAAGGGGATGAATAAACGCTTTGAGAATCTTCTCCTTGTTTTGGATCGTCGTTAAGAAATAAACTTTGAAGCTCTTACCGGACCACAGTGATAGGTCTTGTGTATCTTGTGATCCGAGAATAGAGGATAAGCGCCGGATGTGGAATAATCTGTCTGGTTGACCTGGCAGTTGAATTTTTAGCGATGAAATCCCATCTTAACCGAGTGTGGCTGTGTTATGATTGTCATCAAACTGTATCCTCTCTGTAATCCAGAGCGTGAATTTCGTGACATTCTTGCTGCTGTATAGCGATAGCAGAAACAGTGTTTTCTGTGAGAGAAATTCAAAGTTTGTCGATTCAAGGTTCATAGACCTCACTTCGAGGTGTTGTAACACTACATTCAGATCCCAAGCTGGGGCGGGAACTTCCGCTTTTGGTCCCTCCAATCGAAAGCTCGTAGTTAGGCCAGTAACTCTGGAGATCTTGTCA